CGCCACCGCGCCTCTCGACAGGGAGTGGGCGTGTCCACTGGTCGCCTCGCTATCCCTCGAGGTGCGAAGGAGGAGGACGGGAATGTGAAGAGAGAGAGAGCGAGAGAGAGAGAAATAGAGAGAGAGAGAGAGAGAAATAGAGAGAGAGAGAGAGAGAAATAGAGAGAGAGAGAGAGAGAGAGAGAAAGAGAGATGGGAAGAGGCGAAGCAAGAGCAGGAACAACCCTCGCTGCAGCCACCTGCTAGGAGCGGCGAATCCTGCGGAAGCAGCGCGCGACGCTCCCTCAGTGGCGAGATGCCAGATTCAGCGTGTTCTCGAACAGATTGAGAACGACGTTGGCATCGCCCTTGTTCGTGAAGTGCGTCAATTTAAACGCTTCCCGGAAGCCCTCGACGTTGTGTCCGTCCATGGACTCCACAAACTCCCCCAGGCGCCTCACAGGCTCGTGGATCGCGGCATTGGAGATGTTGTCGAAGCCCATGGAGAGACAGAATTCCAGAAGGCACCAGCCCCCGGAAATGTACTCCCTGCCTGCGTCCACGTCGCCATCCATGGGCAGAACAATGACCGGCGTCTTGCCGATGCTATAGATCTGCTCCATGGCGGAGAGCGCCTCCTTGAACTGGGCCTCCTCCGAAACTGTGCGCACGGACGGATGCGTGCCAGGCTTGGGCATCCCCGACACGGCCTCGATGCGCTGCAGCTCCGGGTTCAGCTTGTCGTTCTGGGGAAGACTCATGTAGTCCACGAACACGGCGTGATCGTCGGAGGCATCCAGCATGGCGAGCTGCTGCACGAGCAGCCTCAACTTGACGCCAGTGGGATCCGGGTGCTCCTTTGACAACCACGGGTGCGAAAGGACAAACCTCGCCTTCTCCCCATCACGCACAAGTGGAAATCCTCTGCTGCCGATGAACACTTGGTCGAGCGGTACCTCCTGGCAACGTTGCATGATGTCACCGGCTGAGGCTAGCCGCCGCAGGTAGCCGCAGCGCACCCACTTCACCTGCGCCCTGTCCAGGTATTCCAAATACTTCTCGTAGAAGGATTGGAGCTGGTCGTCGGTGTAGCAATTGATGGCAGAGAACGCATCGCGCGCGAGAGCCTGCAGTGAGGGCGGCCCGACCAGCCCGGAGAAGAGCACCACCGCGAGGCAGTCGGCCAGCGCGTCGAGGGCCGTCCACCCGTTCGCTAACATGTAGCCTTCAAAGTAGAAGGAGAGCGTCAGGGCGACAGTGGTGGCCAAGGAGAGCGCCAGAGCGAGGGCCGTCGCCACGACGAAACGAGCCGCGCGCCGCTGCGCCGCGCTCCCGGAGGAGCGAGGGCGCGCCGCGGCGGCCACGAGGCCGCTTACGCCGAAGATGCACGCGCCCAGGTAGGCGAGCGCCGCGAGGATCCCGGTTCGGAACAAACACGCACCAATGACTTCGGAGGAGAGCGCGACTCCCCCCAACACCAAATATATTGCGCACATCAGCATCACGGGCGAGAGGCTCACGGCCGTGAGGCACCGCACGGCCAGCGCGACCCGCGGGCGCTGCAGCTCCTCCAGCTTGTTCGCGACGATGACCAGCGAGACCACCTTCAGCACCCACAAGGTCGCGAACCCCACGCTCAGGCTATCGATCAAACGCCCGTCCCCGCACCCTATGGACCACGGCTGCGAGGCGAGCATCGCCGCCGCCGCGCCCGCGCCAGCCCCGCAGGCCCTCGTCCACCGGTGCAGCGGCAGGCCGGCCTGGAAGCTGCCGCGCGCCCACACGCACCAGGCCGCCACAGCGGCATACGGCGCGGCCACCGCCGCCGCCTCGAGCGCCCACCGCTGGAACCTCTGGCGCGAAGGCTGTTTGGGCCAGGACGCGGCGCACCCCCAGCCCGCCGCCACGGACCAGCACCAGAGCGCGGCCAGCGCCGCCAGGAGCGCCGCGGCGGGCGGCGCGGCGCGCCGCGGCGGGGCGGCTGCCTCCGCCGGCGACGGGGGCGGGCCGGGCTCGATCTCGAAGGGCGCGACCTGGCGGCTGGCGAGCGGCTGGGCGGCCTCTTTGTCGATGTGGGCGCCCCAGCCCTGGCGCGCCGGCACGTCGAGCGCCATCCCCGGCGCAGGAGTCGTTTGCAGCGGCGGCCAGACAGAGTCCTGGTCGCGTGCCGCTCGAGGCAGACTGGCTTGAGCCAAAACGGATACGGACCCCCCCTCTCTCCCCTTCTCCTCCTCACCGGCCGTGAGGCCTTCGCAATCGCCACATTCTCCAGACCAAATCAATGTGAGATACGTACGCGGCGTAAGCAACATCGCGCGGTATCACCACCGCGCCCCCTGAGCACAGAAAGGGCGTGCCCTCGGGCCCTTTTTTCCCGCAATCCTCTAAGCCCCAACCCGCAAGCCTGAGGAGTGTCTGAACGGCCTGGAGCCCTTCTTGTCTGGGGCTCCGCGTTTCTTATCACATGACGCTTTCGGGAACCAGCACGTGACTATGTTTTGGCCCACGCCTCCTCCTCCTCCTCATCATCATCATCCTCCTCCCCCTCTTCCTCCTCCTCCCCCTCTTCCTCCTCTGTCGTCGTCGACGTCCTTCAGGAACGGAATTATCGGCTGCAAGGCCTTCAGAATGTTTGGGCCCACGCGGGGGAACCGCAAACCGAAAATCTGAGCTTTCCGACCCAAGGGGGATCTAAGAGGCCCTCCTGACGACGGTTCAGGAGGGCCTCGAATCCCCGAATGCTCGGCCCAAAATGCCGAAGACGGCCCCCGCGACGACCCACGAGCCCGCCAGGACGTCTCCAAAAACACTCCCGAGAAAACCCCAAGAGTCCCCGAACCGTTTACTTTTTCGGGCGTAGCCCGAATTTGTTTTCGAGAGAGCGCGTTTCACGGGCGCTTGCCTTGGGAACATTCGGCGGCACGTTTCGAACCGGGGTTGGGCCCCCCCCAACACTCGGCGCCGTCGATCAGACCAGGGGGACTCCCCTCCCCCTATCCCCCCGCCTCAACCCCCTCACCCCCCGGCGCCGGCACTGGCGGCCACCAACAGCGCTGATGGCGGGGACGCAGCGACGATGACCGGAGGCAGCCCAAGAAGGGGGCGGAGTTCCAAAGCGCTGGCGCCGCCGCCGGCGCTGGCGGCGGCCAACAGCGCCGACGGCGGGGACGCAGCGACGATTACCACCACCACCACAACCACCACAACTACCACCACCACCGCCACCACCTCAAGCCACCATCACCACCACCACCACCACCACCACCAACCCACCACACATCCACCACCACCACCACAGCCACCATCACCACCACAACCACCACCACCGCTCACCACCAACGCCAGAGCCACCACCACCACAATCTACCACAGCAACAACTACCACCGCCACAACCACCGCCATTACCAGCAGCACAACCCACCACCACCACCACCACTACAAACCACCACATCAGCACCACCACCACACCCACCATCACCACCAGCACAACCTCCACAAACCACCGCGAACACCACAACCCACCACCACCACCACAACCCACCACCACCGCCACCACCACCACCACAAACAACCACCAAACCACTACCACCACCACCACGACGACGCACCACCACACCACCACCACCACCACCACCACCACAACCACCACCACCGCTGCCACCACCACCACCACTACCACCACCACTACAGCCCCCACCACCACAAACTACCACCACAAACCACCACACCATCGCCACGACCACCGACACCAACCACCACCACAACCACCACCACCACAACAAACCACCATCACCACCACAACCACCACCACCGCCACCAACACCACCACCACCACAACGCACCACCACCACCACAACCACTACCACTACAACGACCACCACGACGAACCACCACGCCACTACCGCCACCACCGCCGCAACCTTAACCCACCACCACCACAACTACCACCAACACCACCAGCCACCTCACCACCACCACCACCACCGCCACCACCACCACCAGCACAACCTGCCACCACAACCACCACAACAACCACCATCACCACCAACCACAACCACCACCACCACCGCCACCACCGCCACAACCACCACCACCATCGCAACCACAGCCCACCACCACCACCACCATCTCAGAGAGGCCCCAAGAGACGCACAAGAGGCGCCCAGGACGCTGCACAAATGCCCGTCAGAGGCCCCCGAGAGCCCTCCGACGAGTCCCCAAGAGGCATTCATTAGGACTATGACCAAAACCAAGGCACGGTGGCGGAGCGTCGTCGTCGTCATCGTCGTCGCCGTCGCCCTCGTCGACACTCCCCGCCGCCGCCCGCCGCCGCCCGCCGCCGCAGGCGCCGACGCTGGCCCAGAAAAGGAAATCGTCCCCGCCGCCGCCGCTAGCCGCCGCCGACGCAGGCGCCGGGCCGAGGGAGAAAGGAAAAGTAGGGGAGGAGGGTGAGGGGAGGGGAGGGGGTGGGGGGGTTCGACCCCCCCCCCTCCGTCACGGGGGGGGGGGAGGGGGGTGGGGTTCGACCCCCCCCCCTTCCATCCAAGGGGCGGTAGGGGGGGTCCGGTTCCAACCCCCCTCCCGCCCGTCCAAGCGACCGCAGAACGCGCTCTTCCCGAAGTAAACTTCAACTGAACGAACTGGACAGGACTGGACAGAACAGGAAAATGCAGGCCAGGATTTCCAACCCTGGGTCGGGCGGGCAAGCATGCTGTCGCACGTGCACCCCGTCGAAGGACTGTGCCGCGTGCGGCGAGAAGGTCCTGGAAACAGCGCGGATCTCCTCAACGCTGAGGCGATCTGAACAATTCCAGTCGGGAACTTCGACGGGAGGAGGGGAGGTGGAAGCGCGCCGAAGAACCCCGAGCATATCGGCCTCCTTGGCCAACAAAAATCAAAGGTCCGCCGTGCAATTCCCCGGGCTTTTCTCGGACGCCGTGGGACCCCGCCGGTTTTTCAAACGGGTGAGGCGGCGCATCTTGCGCGCAGAGCCAGCCAGAGCTTCAGCTTTGCATTGGTCCTACTCCTTCATATCAATCCCGTCATGGCTTCCCCTCGCCTCCGAGAGGTCCCCCTCCAATTCCTCCTGAAGTTCGGCGAACTGGTCGACCCAGCCGGCTAGTCCTTCAAGGGAGCGAGGCCACGTGGCCACCACCTGCCAAGCTTTGGCCACAGCGAGGTCGAGCCTAGCCGAAACCCCTTCGGCCTCGAAGGTTTGGGAACCAATCTCAACGAGGTGCAGCGCGGCCTGCGCTTCGGACTGGTCAACCATCGAAGCCATCTGCACCGCCAGTCGCTGATTTGCGTTGAGCAGATCCACCCAACCCAGACGCGGACGTCGTCCTCGGCCTTAGCTCTCGGAGGCTGCAGCACAGGGGTAAACTGGGCAACAAGTCGCAAACCCTTCTTCCCTTTTTTTGCGATCGGGGTGCCGAGGCGACTCTGTAACTCCAACTCCATCGCGTCCGAGATGGCTCGCCGCGCGGCGTCCAGCGCAGTCCGCGCCACCTCGACGCCCCGCCAATCGGCGACGAAGATAGCTTTCTCAGCCGTCGCCCTGGTGGCCGCCCAATCCAGGGGTTCCTGGGGCGGGCGAAACGGGAAGTCTGTAGGGGCCGTCTGGTGACTGGCGCGCACAAGCCGGTGCAACTTCGCAGCCCCAGGCCTGGGGCGAAGCTGATCAAAGCGGCGGCCTCTTGGCCCACGAAGAGTCCACTGTAACCTGCTGCGCCAGCTTGCAGAAGGCCGCCGAGGCCACAAACTAATCGATCGTGGTGTTGGCCTGCGTGGTCGCGCAGGTCTTCATCCCAGGCTGTGGGCGGACAATGCCAGCCTTCCCCGGCGTGCCCGACATCTCGAGGCAGGCTGAGCCGAAATTCCAATCAACTCCAAGCAAAGCGAGGTGCCTCCCTTCCATCGCCCGCCCCGCCATCCGTAGAATGCGCGAGTTGCGCTGGCTCAGATCCCCCCCCGCGTGCAGATGCGCGCTGCCAGCGGGCAGCGGAGGCCAGCCTGGTAAATGAAAAGTAGCAAACAACAATGTGTGAGGTGCTGCTATGCCGCGCGCAATATGATCAGGCCACCTTGAAACCAACTGTGACCCTGGCACACATGGCAACTCTTGCGGGCGTTTGTCCGTTGGCACAAGCAACTGACTGTTTGCGCAACGTATTCCATCCGAGACTCTTGGCACTGCTGACGCGAGCTCCCGACATTATGGCATCAACTCCTATCTCTTGCGCAAGCGCCACTCGGGCCGCAGTTGAAGCTCATCGTTTCCGCAGTGTGCCCTAGCTGTTCCCGTTTAAGCGCTCAACAATGTGAGCGCGCGAATCGCTCTGCACTCGGGGGGCGGCTTTTGGCAAACAGCCTACTCACTCCATCGGCGGAAATCCTAAATCCCGCGCAGAAGGGGGCGGCGCGGGCGAGGCCAGCTCTTGACCCTACTCCGCGCGGGTCGTGAAAAACCAGGATTCGACGCGAGGCAACCGGGCTTGATAAACGCGTCTCCGTTCTTGTGTACATCGCACCGAGGGCGCGGTGATCAGAAGCCATCCTGCTTGCGTGTCCCGATAGGAGTAACCGGCCAACCATCGCACGAACAGATGACGCCCGCCGGGGTTGCCACCCGCGTCTGGAATTCAATGGTTCCCCGGCCATGAACGCGCAAGTCGGTGCCAGCGCTCTCGCCCTGAACATCATGATCATTAAAGATGCGACGTCTTGGGTCGCATGGCCTTGGCCCCAAGCAGGGCCTTCAGGATCGCGTGCTCGTTGCCCTTGTGCTTCTCCCAGAAACTGCCAGCCGCGTCTTGGTCGGCAAACGTGTCATCGAACTCGTCGTCCACGAGGCATGGCTGGTCGACGCCTGACCCTTCCGCGGCGTCGCCATCGCCGCTATCAGGGGCCCCGAGCCTAGGGGCCTGCACATGCGCGGGGAAGAGCGTCGCAAACTCCTTAGAGGCCTCTGACTCGAAAGTGTTCTTGACCTCGGCCTTGCCGTCTAGCAAGTCCTGCCGCGCGCCGAAACTGTCGACCGCAGGGGGCTCGCCAAGAGGCAAGGATGCCACCAACTGTCGCAGAAGATCTGCGCGCTCCTCCTCGGCGGCGGCGCGCTTCATCTCCAGCTCCGGTTTCTCCCTCTGCGCCTGCTCCAGGCGCTTGTCGCGCGCGGCGATGTCCTCGCTGATCTTGGACAAGCGGGCTTGGTGCAACGATTGGGCCTGTGCCCCGCGTTGCTGCGCTGCGTGAAGTCGGGCTTCCTTCTCTCGGTCTTCGTTCGCGCTTCCATGGGCTGCTCCTCGAGCACCTTCTTGGCGGCAGCAGCGGGCTTCTCTTTGCACGCGCTGATGGCTTGCTCGAGCTGAGCCGCCTCTGTGCGCAGGGGGTCCTCCGCGCAGGTGTCCGCTGGGGCCACTGCGGCGGCGCCGCCCGCGCTGCCGCCCTGCTGGGCTGGCGCGCGTGCTGGCGCCATGAGCTGCTCGAACTTCTTGGTGAGATCTGCAAGCTGCTTCTACAATCTTGCTTCGCGCTTGGAGCCATCAGCAGGAGGGCGGCTGCCGGGTCCAGGCCCGCGGCCGCCATCACCAGTAGCAAAGCCCTGCGCGCGCTCGAGGACAGTTGCTGGCGCCTTGTCTCGCAAGCCAGAAAAGAAGAACAAACAAGTTTGGATGGGGAAAACACTAGGAAGTAACACGAACATTGCACAAACCTGCTGCGAATAACCACGCTGTTGTTCGAGATCTGGACGGGTACGTGACAGGAACAGCTGAGTGACCTGACTTTCTCGCAAACTATATCGAGCAAGTGCAGTGGCACTAGCGCTTTGCAGAGCTGACGCCTACATCGCATGAAGTCCCGGCTCCGAATTTGAACGTGCACGCATTTGCTTTCACCCTCGCCGAGCTCCAGCTTGTTCTCCGCAAGATGAAGAAACGAAAGGCAGCAGGCCCAGATTATGCACCTCTGGACTTCTGGAAGACCATTGGTAGAAGTAATGATGCCTGCAATGCGCTTTTGGAGATCTGTGAAACATTCTGGATGCAGCGCCGCGCCGCGCTGCTCCTGCCAAGAGCAGTAGCAGCCACGAATAGCCACCCATGAGGGCAGCCACGAACAACCACTCATGCTGACCTCACTGGCACGGTCTATAAAACGAAACTCAAGATCCCGCCCTTGGCCCGAAGAGGCCCGATGGGAATTGCTCAAAGTTGGATTGCATGTGAGTTCGGTGTTTCGACCTAGCTCATGTCCCTCCCCTCCTGTTCCCCCTGCTCGGTTCTATGCCAGTGCGCTTCACAGCCAGCGCGCTTCGTTTTTCATGCGTCACGGTCGTGATGCGTCACAGTCGTGATGCTGTCCGTTTTCTGCCCTGCACTCTCGCAACCTGGAAGGTTTTATACCTACGGGTTGGCACTCCATGGGGCCTGACCTGTTGAACGTATTAATTTGATGCCGCTGCTGTGCGTTATTGATGCCTGTTCCTCATGTATATGATGGGTGTATTTGTTGGTGTGTTTCCATTGGGGGGGATATGGTTGGGGGGTCCCATGTTTTGTTTATGGTCTGATTTGAGCTGTCGTGGAGGGGCCCCGGGGGTCTGAACAAAAGGCTGCACTTTCATGCCTGGTCTAGGGGGGTCCAACGTTGCCCGCCTGCGAGGGTTGCAAATCCCAATTCCCATAACGTCCGAACCATGCATCCCAACCCCGGTATCTGTTAGTTGTAGCTGACACTGATGTGCGTTCCTGAGGTACGTGCTGACGGTGTGATCTTGCCAGGTGTCGCTGGTGCATGTTCTTGGTGGCCGTTAGTGGTGTCTGTGTTTGACGCATTTCCTTGGTGTATGCTCTAGATGTCGGACCATCATGTATGTTCTTGCTGTCTGCTCTAGATGCATGTTGTAGGCGGGGGTGGCGTCGCGGCACCTGGACGGCGTGGCGCATCCCTCGTGGGCTCGGCGACGCGGGATGCTCAAAGGTACCTGGGGATTCTTTTGGCCTGGCGGCCGCGGCATGCAGGACAAGCGGACAGGGGCCACGGTATGCAGGACCGGCGAGGCAGGATGCTCCGGGATCACCTGGAGCTCTTTAGGTCTGACGGCCGCAATAGCTATGCAGGGCCGTCGAACGGGCGTGTTCTGAAAAGTCTGACAATCCCGACCTGTCGGGTTGGTGAGAAGCTCGAGCTCGAACATCCCTCCGCCTATCCTGCTCCCCGTTCTCCCCGTTCTCATCGTCCTCATCCTGCTCCCCATCCTTCCCATCCTCCTCCCTCTTCCTCCTCCTCCTCCTCCTCCTCCTCCTCCTCCTCCTCCTCCCACCCTGCCTCCCTTCCTTCCTCGACGTCGTCGGTTCCGTCGTCGTCGTCGTTCTTCCTCGTCTTCTCCCCATGACCCCATCGTGCCCCTCCGCAGGCGGCGCGCGAGGCCGACCTGGAGCTCTGGAGCACCCTCCTCCTGCGCCCTGGGGCTAGAAGATACCCCTACCGCTGCCTCTCGGGAGCGGCCGAGAGGGGGGGGGCCCAAAGAGGGGGGGGACCAAGAGGGGGGGGTACAAGAGGGGGGGGTACAAGAGGGGGGGTACAAAGGGGGGTACATTGACATTGAGGGGGGGACCAAGAGGGCCGTCCCCCCCTACAAGGGGGGGGGACCAAGAGGGGGGGGTACAAGAGGGGGGGT